AAATGTACAGCCTCATGGAGGCAAATGTCATTTAATTCATTATTGATTGTACTTCTATACGGTATGTCCATCCCACAGGAAAAAAAAAAAAAAACAGAACTCAACCATAACACACACAGCTGCATGTGCGTCCTGGCCCAGCATTATCATATGATGATGCGAGCACTTAGAGGACTGGAGGAAAAGATGGAAACATACATAAAGAGCCGAGTTATTTCAGAGAAGCCACGGGAAGTATTGTTACACATGGAAATACTGAAAACAAAAAAATTCAATGTCAGGAGTGAAAAGTATTAAAAGAGGAAATAAATGTAAATTTTCTAAAATTCCCCAAAGACATCAATTTATAGGTCTAAGAATTGTAACTGTTATCAGTAGAATAAAATACAAAGAAAACCACAGTGATGTATATTGTGGGCAAAACTCCAAAAACCAAATCTAAACAGTAGATCTAACAGCCAGAGGGAAATAGACACACACACACATATATGATATACATAAAGGTGCCAAAATATGAACTACAAAGGTATTTCTATTGGAATCACAGGCACAGGAGGAATGGTTTGTTCGAAGTGCTAACAGGAAATGGTCTGTCAATACAGGGACAATGCCCTTCACAGTGAACCTAAGAAAAAGACAACTTCAGAAACAAGAGTGAAGACTTCAGTCTCTAACAAATGGCACTACAAGAACCATTGGAAATTCTTTTCTTAAAAAAAAAATTATTTTGAAAGGCAGAGAGAGAGAGAGAGAGAGAGAGAGAGAGAGAACTAGAAGGAATGAGATTGTCTATCCACTGATTCATTCTCCAGCTATTGGCAACAGCCAGGCCTTGGCAAGGTTAAAACCCGGAAGCAGGAAACTGGTCACCCAAGAGCGTGGCGGGAAGCCAAGCGCATGAACCGTCCTCTGCTCTTTTCCCAGGACCTAGATTGGAAATTGAGGAACCAGTCTTGACCCAGTGCTTCAATATGGGATGCTGGTGGTCTAAGTAAGTGGAACAGTTGGAAAACCAGGTCTGCAAGAAGGAATAGGAAAGTATTTGAAAGGATAAATATCTGAGAACACGGAGAGGAGGCCGATATCTTACTACATGCCAATATTTACACATTTCTAAGTAAATTAAAAAAAAACCATATAATGTATTATGGACTCGATAACCTGTAGAAGTACAACACTTGATCTTAGCCAAAAGACCAAGAAGTGATGACCTGTGGAAGTAGAATGGAAGACCTCAGTGTCCCAAGGTATGGAAAAGGATCAGTGCAATTTGCTCTGTCAAAAGCTGCTCTACATGCTACCAGGGTCGTCACACACTAGAAGCAAGGTCTCCATTCCAACCCCAAGTGGCAGCAGTTATACTTTTGTCAACTCAAACTGTAATTCCTGCTGTGTTTTCTGGGAGTTCAATGCAATTACAAAAGAACTTTCCATATTACAACCTTCTTAACCTTGCATCTGGGGAATCTTCTGGCTAACCTTCACCTGGGAGAGCTTAATCTACAATGTAATGGCAGGCTGAAGGCAGCTAAGGTAGGGAATATACAGAATTCTCATTGCATTTTAGGAATGCTTACTACGCAAACAATACACTCGAACAAAATGATTCGTTGGTGGATTAGTACCAATATTTGGCAGTAGCTGTCTCAAATTATTTTCTTTTATTCCTGCTTCTACCACTCCTGTGATACATTTTTAATTTTTGTAGCCACGTTTGTTAACTTCATGTTGATGAAAATATATGATGGTCACCCTGTTGTGGACTGTGCTCACTGGTTCTGTATCTTAGGGGACGTGCAGCGGAGACGGATATGTTGAGATATCAAAGTACTGTACATCTCTATGCGTACAGACCAAGGATGGACTCCCAGGGAAGGAACGGAATACATCCTAACAGTAAGTGATGGACTCTCTGACAATGTCCATGCCTACATTGTCACGAAACACTTCAACCAGCAGCATGACGGACTTGAGACTTTTCATGAAGCACATCCGTTATAAAACTAGAGGGGAGATAAATGGGGTTGAGGGGGGACCTTGCGGAAGGGCACCGGCAACCCCAGAGCCTATGGAACTATATCATAAAACAAAATATTTGTTAAAAACTTTATTTATTTAAAAGACAGAGTGCTGGAGATGTGGGCAGGAGGGGGCAGGACAGAGATCTTCCATCTGCTGGTTCTTTTTCCAAATGGCTACAATAGCTAGGTCTGGGCTAGGCCAAAATCAGGAGCCGGGAGCTCCGTTCGGGTCTCTCGTGTGGGTGGTGTGGGCCACCCTCTGCTGCCTCTCCAGCCACATTAACAAAAAGCTGGATCAGAAGCTGAGGAAGCAGGACAGGGAGCTGAGCTCCCATGTGGGATACCAACTCCCCAAGCTGCGGCTTAAGACACCATACCACCACATGTACCCCGAGGAGGCACTTTACAATGTAAGATCAATCATGGTATTAACAGATTACATGGGAAATTCCAGAAATAAACATGTTGTAAGTTTCGAATGACTTTATTGTTGTATACACTTATAATTGTTCTATTTCATTCACTGCGATTGTTAATCTCTTACAGTGCCAAGCTTAGAAGTGTCTGGATAGGACAACTCAGTACACATTGGGCTGGGAGCTGCTGGTTTCCAGCACCCCTGGAGGTCCCGGCAGGTATTCTCCATGCATGCATGGGTGGTGGTAGCTATTTATGCTTTCTCTTTAAACAGGAGTTACACGAGATAGACATGCCGCTTTGCCATTTTTTTTAAAAGGATATTTTTGTTATTAGAAACGCAGATATACAGAGAGGAAGAAAGAGAGGAAGATCTTCTGTCTGATGATTCACTCACCAAGCAGCTGCAACGGCTGGAGCTGAGCTGATCCAAAGCCAGGAGCCAGTAGCCTCTGTCTGGGTCTCCCACGCAAGTATAGGGTCTCAAGGCTTTGGGCCGTCCTTGACTGCTTTCCCAGGCTACAAGCAGGGAGCTGGATGGGAAGTAGAACAGCTGGGATTAGAACTGGCGCCCATATGGGATCCTGGAGCGTGCAAGGTGAGGATTTTAGCCACTAGGCTACTGCCAGGTCTCTCTTCCCTCTCCATACTAGAAAGGCTTAGAGATCAATATGATAAGCAAGTGCCTAGAGGCTTAAAGGAGCTTCACCCAGCCTTGGGACACCGTAGTTCTGCTAGCAAACATCAGGAGCAACAGGGGGAACAAAACCTAGCTGAGGTGGGGGAGAGTCAGGTGACTAGGTGCAGTCAAAACTCAGACCTCTGTAGACAAGGGACTTGCAGCTCACAAAGCCCGCTGTTTCCTGGAGGCCCACCAACCCCTACTGCCCCCCTTGCTGGCAATAGGTCTCTTCCCTACCCCCAGTCCTCTAAGAAATTCTAGTTCAGCATGTTTCCATCAACGTATAAGCTAAGTACTATTCTATACACATTCTATATACATGGTGTCAAGGATGCAGGAAAGTGGATAGGAAATTCGTCCTGGTGCCGGTGCAGGGAACATATGGGAATGTGCGCACATACACACATATTTATACTATTTATTTACATATTCGAAACCTGCTACGGGGAAGAGACGGAATTACAACGTGTCGTTTTGCATCTTTCCGCATCTACACCTGGTATCAGACTCGAACGTAAACACCGTCACCGCGGAGTTCCTGGCCCTCTCCGGAGCCCACCCATCGCCGGGGAGAAGCATATCCCGCGCAGGAGCATGCTGGCGCTCGAACCCGCGCCCCGCCGGCTTCACCCGGCTCTCCAGCACCCCCTGGCCCCTGCAGGACCGCGACCGTTCCCGGGGGGGCGCTCTGGACAGCGCCGACCCGGGGAGGCGCGCACCCGCCGGAGCGCGTCCCGCCAACATAGCAGTCGCGTCGCCTAGGTCGGTTGGTGGTAGCCGCTATTTCTTTAAACGGCCGGTGCATTTCGACACCGGGAAGGAGAGGGGTCAGGAAGGGAACGGCGGCCGCCTCTGCTCGCCGCCCTCTGCCGGCACGCGTGCGGGGTCGGGGGAAGCGCCCGCTTCCTCGTCTCCTTTCTCGGGGTGCGCGGCGGCGAGGGCGCCCCGGCCTAGCCCCGCGCCCTGGGCCGCGGCCGCCTCCGGGCTTTGTGTGCCGCGTCGCGCCGGGGCGCAGGGCTCGGGCCCCGGGCGCAGCTGTAACCCGAGCTCCCATTTCCTGGTGGCTTCTCTTAAAGCGGCCGCGGTCGAGAAGCAGAACAAAGGCTATTGTTTTATTTCCTCCTTCGGATTCCGCGTCCTGACCGGAATGTCCCTTTCACGGATAGTTACGCTCCTGTGGGCTCTGCGTTGGGGAAACGCTTTCCTTTTTTTTTTTTTTTTTTCTTTTAGGAAAACAATCCCGGTGCATCTATTCCCCCCTCCCCCGCGTCTACGGGACGGAGCCAGGGGGAGACGGGCGCCGGGGAATAAAAGCCGACCGGGGCGCCTGCAGCCCCCTCGTCTCACGTTTCCAAGCGCGTCTTCCAGGGGCCCGGCCGGGGCTGCGCCGAGCGGGAGGCGGCGGGTCGGGGGGTGCCAGGGGCTGCCCGGAGCGGCCCCGGCTTGGGGGTGCACAGCGCCGCGCGCCCCCCCGTTTTCCCTGCGCGCCCCTCCCCCGCAGGCCGCTCCGCGGCGCGATGCGGGGCTGTAACCCGAGCCCGTATTTCCTGGTGGCTCCTTTAAGAGGCAGAGCTCTGTGCTGGGAATTCACGTCAGTTTCTGCCCTGAAACTCTCAAGATCAATGAGCAAAGCGCTTTCTCAGTTCTGCCTTTCAGTTTCTCTCTTCCAGGAAGGAAAACATTCGAGGGAGCGAGGAGGTGGAGAGGGGAGGGTGTGGGGGGTGAGCGGCGGGGGGCGGGAGCGCCGGGCGCGGGTGGGAGGAGAGAAGCCAGGCCGGCCGGCTGGCTGCGCCCCGGGTCGCCGCGCCGCACCGCGCCCTGCAGACCCCGCGGCCGCGCTCGGCCCGGCTCCCACGCCCCCCGCGCGCCCCGCACCGCGCCGCTCTCCGCCGGCGCCCGCCCCGCCGCCTGCCTGCCCGCCCGCCTGCCTGCCTGCCGCCGCGCGCGCTCGCAGACCCCCGGGGCTGCTTGCCCGGGGGAGGGGGTGGTGGCAGAGATGCTGGAAGAAACTTCTTAAATGACCGCGTCCGGCTGCCGGTGGAGCCGTTCGGGGTTGGGGCGAGGAAAGGAAAGTGGAAAAAAAAAAAAACTGAGAACTTCCTGATCTCTCCCGCTGTGAGACATGTCTGAGACTCCTGCTCAGTGTAGCATTAAGGTAAAGCCCCGCACCCCTCCCTCTCCCGGTCGGGAACCTCGCGCGGCACTGGCCGGGGCAGGCGGGCCGGGCTCCCTGGAGGGGGAGCGCAGGGAAGGGGATGCGGCTGGCGGTGGCTGCGGCGGCGGCAGTACCCTTAGCTTAACCTTGCTGCCTGCCTCCCGCTGCCGAGCCCCTGACGGCCCCCCTGCCCCCGGCCCCTGGCCCCTGGGCCCCCGACCCCCTGCTCACCCCTTCTCTTTTTGACAAGAAACTGTCCGTCAAGATCGGTCAGGTGGAACCCGGGTTGCCTTCCAGAACTGGAAAACACCCCCTGTAATTAGAGCGCTTAAAAAAAGAAAAAGAAAAACCTGTTCCTTATTCCTACTCCCCACACGTGATTGTAATGAGATGGAACTTTTCTTCCCGCGGGGTGGTCTCCTTAGGGGAAGAAAAAAAAAGGACTCCGGCCCCCACTGCAGATAAATTGTCTTTTTTTAAAAAGGAGTCCCTGCGTTTGTTGGATCTTAGGGAATTGTTCCTCTCCGCTGATTGTAGTTGCAAGCGCAGTGGGAAGACAGCCGTGGTGTCAGCTTTTCCTGGGCATTGCACAATGATTTTTTTTTTAACCAAGGTGAATAAAGGTGCTGAATAGTTATTTTACTCCAGTGCACATGAGAACTGAGCAATGCCAAAGCAGAAAACTCCTGTGATGCCGGGAGAGGCGAAAGTAGGTGGCCAGCGTGACCTCTGACAGTGGGGCGGCCGGTAGCTTCCAGAAGCCATCACTGGGACACTCTGCAGGATGGTGGTCCTTGCCAGACATGGTGCTTTGGTGTCCCAGGAGTTGTGTGTTTGGTATCGCATTTGTCAAGGCTGTGGCACCGTTGGTGTGTTGCTTCTAGAAAGTTGTTGTAAAGTTTGTCACCGTTGGGAGGCAGGGTGGTTTGTGCTCTCCCCGTGGCTGCCTGATGGGCTCTGAGCTCTGCTGTGGCGTCAGTGTCCAGGTCGGAGGCTGTCTGCGCCAGGGAAGGGCTGGGGCTGCTCGGGTTTGGGTCTGGCATGGCCTAGGCAGTGGGTGTTTGTGGGGTGGACCCTGCAGAAATGGTGAGCTGAGTCGGATTTCTTCTGTTCCCGTAGGAGTTGGAAAAGCCTGTCCCTGTGTCTGTTTTTGATGTGTGTTTTTTTTTTCTTAACTGGGATCTGTGTTGGGGGAAGACTACAGACTATATTTTATTGTTCCTGCTTACCCACTTTTCATACTCAGATTTTAGTGTTGTCTTATCACGATGGGTTTCCAAAATAGAGCTAACGTGAACTCAGAAGGTGGGTTGGGTCTCTTGGGTTTTGCTTCACAAAACGTGCCCAGTCCGAGTTGCTGTGCTTGCGTGTGCCTGGGCTTGGCAAAAGCCAGTCTGTGGGTGTGGAGGGGTGCCGCACAAAAGAACTTAGGGTTCTTTGATAGTTCAAAACCAATTGCTTTTGTGGTCTAAATGAGATTCTCCCGGGAGTTCAGGAAAATCCTGTGGTATAGATCATCTAATTTATTTGACACTTTATAACAAAAACAGAGGTAACTAAATAATAGGGTATTAGATCAGCAAATTGCATTTAGCTTGATGGCAATAAACCTGACACCAGGAAAATGTGAAACCCACTTCTGGACAGTGACTTTGAAAACAGGAACAAGGCTCTGCTCTCTGTAACTTGTCTTCTGAAGGGACTGTAATGGTTTGTTTCATTGTATCCTAGTAGACAAGGCGTGCGCATTCCCTTCCTGGACCCACACATACAGAACCAGACCAAACAAAGCCCTTTCTTCAAAATGACCTGAAAGTTGCGACTATAATTTGCATGAGGTAATTTTTCCCCCTCCTGGCTTACACTCTCAGTTCGGTTTTGGGTGGCCCTCTTCATCCGCGTGTACTTCTGTGTAATGAAGCCAGGTGGAGTGTTCTTCATGAAAGTACCACTCTTTGGATTGTGCCTGATGGATCCAAGGTGTGGATGTTTGCGTACACTCCGTAATGTGTGTGACGATACGTTTAGAAGTGTCGGTCTCTCCATGGTGATGGTTTCATGATAAAGCACTGCAGGTCAAGGAAGGGCCAGGTCTGTTCCAGATCTTCTGGAAAGGATGTGTGCCGTGTGTTTCTTGTGATTCTTGGCATGTGGTCCGTGAATGCATCATAAAACATCCTGGGATGCTCAAGCGAGTTGCTGGCTTCTGGAAGGGGTAATCCATTCTCAGGTGTAGTCCACCAGACTTCTCGGCAGGGTGGAGGGCGAATGTCACGGCTTCGGGAATGGGCTGTTGCACCTGCGGGCTGAAGAGCAGCACGTGGAAGTCTCCCTGGGCACGTGCAGAGGGTCCTCACCTCTTTGCTCTCCCTAAACCTCCCTCCCTGTCTTCCTCTCTTCCCCTGCCTTACCAGCAGCTGGTCACCAGCGGGCAGTGAATTCCTTAGCCCTGGGAGGTGAACTCTGAGGGGCCTGACCAGAGGCGGCTGCCGAGAGAAGTACCTTGTTTATGGCCGTGTCTGCCTGTCCTGCTGGAAAGGAATAGGGTCTGTTGGGGTGAAGTTTCCAAGGCCACACTTTCTGAATCGGTCAGTGGGTGATGCTTTCGTAAAGCTTGCGTCTGTGACGGTGAGTGACAGGGAGGGAGTGCCTGAGCAGGCCTATTGTGCTTCCTTTGCATGTTATAAAATCTTTCCTTACCTAGGAAGGAGTGTCAAACACTTTTTTCCCCCTGGTAGGAGAAGGCAGGTTGAGGAGCAGAGGGTCTGTCCGACCAGCTGAGTTTATGAGCTACTTGCTTGTAAGTTTTGGCCTACCCATCAGGAGAGGTTAGATGCTTGATTGAAATCCTGTTGGTTTGGGGTTGCTGGAGTGTCAGGACAGGCTGGACCGAGTGGCAAGTCGAGTGTGTGCCTCAGGACAGCGTGGGTGCCTGTGCTGATCCCAGGCAGAGGAGAGAGGAGGCCGTCTATTCCATCACCGGCCTTCACCTTCAAGTCACCTGTTTGGTTTTAAGTTCAGCCAAGTTGCAGCGGAAAGTGGTTACGGCCCAGCAGACACAGTCTTTTGTAAGGCTTGGCACAATGCTTTAGTGGGCCAGGGCTGCCCAGAATACAAAAGTAAGTCATGTGATGTCCTTGGTCCCCTCTGTCCCTGCCATCCTTATTGGTTGGCTTTTGTGGCAGAAGCAATCTCCTCTCTGTTTCTCCCCCTCTCTGTGTTCTGTTGCTAACCGGAGCCTCTAAGAGCGCTCCTGCCGGACTCCGAGCTTCTTGGGTTCAGTGATGCTTGTCTCGCTGTCCCAGTATGTAGCTCAGCAGCTGGCACCCAAGTGCTTCTCTGTAATGTTTGCTGGTTGACAAGGGACGTGTGGGAGGAGTCGAGAGCTCTTTCTTCTCTGCCCATGTGTCATCTCAAGGTGACAACAACTTTCCCCCACTGGCTTGCAGGAAGCATTTCCTAGGGTCACCCTGCCTGGTTTGAAAATTACTATCTAAAAAATCATGAATTGGTTTTCATGTTTTTGAAAGGCAGAGGGGGACATAGGCGGATCTTCCAGCCACGATTTATTGTCTACATGTCCACCACGGCCAGAGCTGGTCCAGGGTTGACACCGGGAGCTGGGAACCCAATCTGGGTCTCCCAGGTGGGTGTCATGGACCCAACTCTGCTTGAGTTTCCGTTGTTGCCTTCCAGGGTCTGTATCATGAAGCTTGAATCCTACCCAGACACTCTGATAAGACATTTAAATGTCCCAGGGTTGACTTAGCTGCTGTGGCCAAGCACCCACCTCTGTTCAAAAGTGAATCGTAGAATGCTTTATTACATGGACAGAATTGTCAGAGTATGCGCTTGTATCTAAATGAACAAAAAGTAATTGTGCAAAGGATACACCGGGGACTCACTCTGAGAAGATTCAGGTGAGCAGGCTTTGAAAGGTCAATCAGCTTGTCTGACAAGATAGTCTAGGCGTTTGGAGCCGTTTGGAGTTGGAAGACCATAAGGATCACCTGGGCCAAACTCCTGCCTTTGCAAAAGGAGTGTCCTGAGAACTAAATGGATGGCCCTAATCCGTGGGTGTCTGAGCCAAGTTTGGAAGAGTGCAGGCATACTCAGGCAGGACACCACATTCTGTAGCTTCATCATGGGCCCCTAGTACAAGCTAAGGAAATTCGATATGATAAACTTGGCCCTGTCTGGCACTTCCTTAGTTGGTCCATTTTAATCATAAGCCACTTGGTCTGAGGGCAGAGAGACAAATGCCAGGGAAGATGGGATGTGTGGGAGCACTGGAGTGTGATGGTCAGGTGTGAGAAGGGGAAGTGGGGGGCAGGGGAGCGGGGGAAGAGGGGCCTCGTGAACTTGCCAGAGGACACTTTGAAAAGTTCATGCAAAGTGGAATGAAAGGCGCAGTCCATTTAGGTGACTTTGAAAAACAGTTTCAAAGTCCATGTGTTCTTGTATCGGTGCCACACTTTGCAGCCTTGTGGTTCTGCTTGGGACGGGTGGTGCGGGTGGCTGTTCTTAGGCCCTCTCTGAGATGTAGGCTCTCACTCAGGGTCAGCCAAACCTCTTCCCACGCTCACCTGCGTGTGATGACTTCCACGTCTTAGACGCCGAAGGCTGCCAATATGGGAGCAGTTCGTGGGAAGTACCTCGAGTCTCAGAGTTCACTAGAGGGAGAACACATCTGTAATTCTGAGTGAGGTATGTTTTCTGCCACCAAGGAAAGAAAGGGACCAAAGCTGGCTGGGAGTAGCTTGAAGAGTATTGTCATTTTAATATGATTTATTTATTTTTAAAGTGAGCATTCCTTTTTATTCCCTTAATGCCTGCTGGGGCTGGACTAGGGCTGAAGCTGAGAGTCATGTGCTCAGTCCCAGTCTCCCACATGATTGGGCAAGGACTGAATTGCTTGGAGCCATCAGAACTCCTTCCCAAGGCTTTGCAGTGCTAGGGAGCTGGGACTCGAACCTGGGCCCCCTGATATAGGATGTGTG